TATGCCTTTCTCAGACACACAGCCCCATCTCTCTGCAGGTGGCCTGGTAGCCTTCCCAGAGAAAAGGAGGCTGGGAGTGGTTAAGAGCCCTGTCCAAGGTCACAGTGAGAGGCACAGCCAGCTGGAAGACAGAGCTCTATACCCTCTAGACAATGACTTGGCTCTGCAGGGCTGTCTAAAAGGGGCATCTCAGGCACTGTAGCAAGTGGGACAGAGTCCACATTGCTTCCTGGCCTCCACAGTTCAGTCCTTCTGGGAGACAAGGGGAACAAGAATACCACAGCTTCAGCCCCGGGCCTTTCCATCATGAACTGGATAGGGCAGTGTGACAAGAGAAGGAGTCTCCAGCAGACCCCTCCAGCTAGGGTGGAGTCACTGGACTTGTTACTCAGGGAAGAATTTTCTGGGGTGTCCTTTTGTCTTTCTGCAGTCCCATTATCAGCCATTCCCTTGGAAGCTGAACTGAGAGATCAGAGCAGGCAAGATCTAGGGCCCTCCGTCTGTACACACTTCTATGCACACCTTCTCAGGGGCCCTTCTCCACAGGCTTTGCTAACCACAGCAGCACCTTTGCACTAGTTGGGGAAAGATGCTCTCCCTCCAGGCAGCATGCAGCCCTGCTAGGGTACACAGTATGGCCTTGTGGGAGCTGCTACACAGCCAGGTGCCTCTGTGCAGTGAGCAACCCGCACAACCATATTCAGCAAACCCAGCAGCTCCCTATAAACCTGCTTGGAAAGGGGCTCAGAGGAGGGAAGCAATACATCTAAGAGCATTCAATTTGTGGGTACTGAAGCTGGGACAGGACCTATAGACATGTTACCCTACATCAGTCCAGAGGGTATTGAGGGGGCACACAAAGGAACAGAAAGGGAAACAGAAGCCCACCTTGGATTACCTTGCACATGAGAGAGACGGTGGTGCTCTCCTAAGCTCTCAGAGGCCAGCCTTGGATACCCAGTGAAGCTGCACAGGAAGGGCTCTCTCATCCTCCATGGGCCTCAGTTTTCTCCTGCAGATAATGGCATGAAAAGAGCTCCCAGCCCAGCCTATCATCCCACCTCCCCACCAGGGTCATTGTTATAGCTGTTGCTCAATCTAACTGGGCAGGAGCAGAAGCAATCTCACCTTGCCCCACCCCTATCAGGCCCAGTTTAGCCCTGCCCTCCTGCCCCAAATCCCAGTGCCCTGGGCAGGACTGGAGTTGCCCAACCCTGATCTTCCTCCTTTTCCTTGTTAAACCAAAACTTTTGAAACAGAGTGATCTCCAGAACAAAAGGCATTATCGAGGCATTGTGGATGCAAAAAGGCTAGGTAGCAGGTGGAAAATGTCCACCACATCTAAAAAGCCAGAGTATTTTATAATGACAACTCGGTGGGGAAGGAAAGCATGAATCTTTTCCATTGACTCTCCATGAGCTATGGATAAGAGGGGTGGGACAGTAAGGCAGTCTGTGAGGAGCACCATTGCCTCTTTTTTTTTTTTTTTTTTTTTTTTGGTACCCGCGATTGAACTTGGGACCTTGCACTTTTGAGTCAGGCTGTGGAACCACTGAGCTAAATCCTCAGCCCACCATTGCCTCTTGATTGGCTGGGATAGTAAAACTTCCATGGCACTTCCTGATCCAACTCCTAGGGCTCTAAGGCAAAATCACAACACATATTTAGGAACACAGAAGGGTCTTTTGTTGGATTGGCCTGAAGCTGATAACAGATTAATTTCTCCTTCCCTCTCACCTTTGTAATTAAATTTAGGACATCTCAGAATTTCTCTCTCTCTCTCCCTACCTTTCATTTCAGCTTTATTGTACCTGTCAAACCAAAATTTTTAAAGTGAGGTAGTTATACAGGTTGTCCTCCCAAAATGTTTGTACATCAGCATAAAATTTAGATGAAAAACTTACTTTGCCTTGCATTTTTGTCCAGGTATTTTGAACTAATTTGTGTGTTGCTCATTCTTTATGTTTAAGAATTAATAATAACAAAGTAAATAGCAAATCATGTATTTAGCAAGGTAAGCACATGGTTTCCACTGCGGTCATAAATTCACTGGGCCAGGAGACACTTATCAGGTCAGAGAAATACGGGCTTGTCAGTCATCAGAAAACTGGTAGCCACTGGAGCTGTCACACAGAAATCCAGTCACTCAGAGGCCAGATCTTAAAGGTGTGTCCTCTTGTGAGTCCATACAGGATGCGTCCATAGAACCTGGAATCTGTGGAGTTCTGTAAATTGTCACCTTCTAACCAGACTTGGCCCGTGGGCACTTTGGATACCATAAAAACATCGGCTGAAAAAAAAAAAACATTGGCTGAGATTTTCTGCAAAGACGATATCTGAATTTTGAATGGTAGGCCCCATTGATGATCTAGAACACATCACAACCCCATCAACGTACTCAAAAGCACAATGGGCTATGTAGCCATACTGAATAGTGTAGCCAAAAAGCCGAAAGGTCTTTCCCCCAAACATTGCGAAGCAGCGTAGATGCCTACCGTTGGCCAAAGGTCTATTCCTCAACACATTCAATTTTCAGGGTGCTTCCAGGAAAAAATCGAAAGCACAGGTGGGTAATCCATGGCTTCAGAACCCACTGGCCCAAAAGGACCTCTGGAAGACCCTCCTCAACCAAGACTCAAGGGGCCTGTCCGAATTTTTCTCTCATTATCCACAAGGTAAACACCAGTGCACTGATACCTAGCCACAGTGGGTGACAGGGGTGAAGTACCATGATGTTCTCTGTGCCTGTGCACACATTCTGCCTCGTCTGCCAGGTGTGTGGCCTTGGACAAATCACACAACCTCTCTGAGCCTCACTGTTCTCTGGATGAAGGCAGAGAACCATAACTGCTACCTCAAAATGTGAAGGATTAAGGGGGATGCCACACATGCAGTCCTTGTACACTGCCTGACAAGGTCAAGAAATGTTGCTGATGGGCGGGGTGTGGTGACGCAAAACGGTAATCCCAGCTCTTGGGAGGGTGAGGCAGGAGAATTGCTGTGAGTTCAAGGCCACCCTGGGTTACAGAGTGAGTTCAAGGCCAATTTGGAATACATAGTGAGACTTTGTCTCAAAAAAAAAAAAAAGAAAGAGAAAAAAGAAAGCATTGCTGATATTGCTGATAGAACCACAGAGTGCTCAGACTCCACCAGGCACCCTTCCCAGCTAAGCCTGTGCTACTTATGCATGATTATCCCCACTTGAAGTTGAGGACACTGAGTCCCCAGTGGCCGCTTAGCTCATTAAAGGTCAAAGCTCATGCTCTTTGGATGACATCCATGATTCACCCCTACCACGGTGGGATCTCGAAAACTCAGGCCACACAGGCAACAAGGTGGCAGATCATCTGGGGGTGGCTGCACCTTGTGCCAGGAGCCTGGGCAGTGAAAGGGAGACCCCATAGCAGCCCTAGAGTTTGGTAGGGGGATGTGACTGGGCTGGGGGTTCCTGGATAAGGCAGTTCCCCGCCTCAGAGTCCCTCCAGGGGTAGACAGAAGTGGGTCTGTATAGGCCACTGTGTATGAAGTGGCAGGAAGGGTCCAAAAGCTGCCAGGCCCCTCAACAGCCTCCCCTGGCCAAGGATGCTCTTGGAGATGGGGTGGGGGTGGGGGTGGTATCTGAGGGAAGGATGTCAGATGGAGGAATTGTAAGGGCAGGACAGCCTGCTTGTGCCACTCAGCCCTATAGGATGGGGAATAGCCCCACTTAAAGCAGAAGAAAAGTGAGTTTTGCTTCAGGATAGAAAGAGGTGCTCAGGTCCAGAAGCCAGAGTTAGACTTGGAAGCCACAGGTGTGATACATCAGAGGAGACGGCGTGAACCTTGTCTCTGGGGGTGCACCTGGGTGGGTGTGTATCTTGGGAACACTGGGTGTGGGTGTAATTGTATGTACCTAGCCCTCTTTGGGGCTTTGGGGCTGGCAGATAGGCAGAGCAAAGCTTACAGACAGCCCACCTCCTTTGCCCACTGGCACTCTTGCACCAGGTTCCTCCCTTCCTTCTAGGGGTGTGCAGAGATCCTGGCGCAGGAGTGCTTTGGGGGAGTCTGTGTGTAGCAGGGTCAGGCGCTCCTGGCTGGAACAGTACCCGTAGGGCTGTGTGTGCGGGGAGCTCAGGCTCCAGCTAAGGGACCTTGCCCCGCCTGCCATTCTGCCACCCCACCCCCAGGGCGGCTCTAGTACCAGGCTCCGCCTGTGCCTCCTCTCCCCTACCCCAGGTCCTCGCCTTCTTCCCATCTGTTTTTCTATCCCTTTTCCGCTATGAGGTGTCTCTCTCTCTCTGACAGTCCCTGTCCCTTCGCCCCGGCCCTCTGTCAGGACTTAGTCTGTGTTTTCACAGATCCCTGCGGACTGTCTCTCCCTAGCCAGCTCCGCGTCACATCGTAGGCCATCCAAGCGCCATCCCCCACCCCTGGCCCTGCTTACTCCTGGCTGGGGACAAGGGGGCGGGGCCCTGGAGGTCGGTCCCGGGCCATTCCCGCCCTTCTCTGGGCAAGCACCCGGGGCAGGCGCACTATATAAGGCACTGCCTTGCCAGCCTCGCCACTGTGCTGCCGCTGCCTTCACGCCCGCTCGCACAGATCCCTTCCGAGCCGCTGCTGCCCGCAGGTACCCCGGCTCCGGCCCAGCCCCGGGGGAGCCAGGGAGGGGGGCTGTCGGGCAGGGGCGGTGGGACTGGGACCCTGAGCCCCCCTCCACTAACCCTGAGCACTCTCGCACTCTCGGGGACCCTGGGTGCCTTCTGCTGGAGGGGCTGAGCCAGGGCAACTAGGGATAGGGAAACTCAGGGGTGCAGGACGCTTGGGGTCCATGAGGCAGAAGTCTCTCCTTCTCCTTGGGCTGGGGAGAGGATGGAAAGCCTTGGTCATTTCTCAGCTGGGACAGGATTGAGGAGGAGGTGGAGGGTGTCTCCAGTCCCAAAGCCTTAGGGGCTGGAAGGTGGCAAGGGACCTGGCTGGCCCTGACTCCCAGCTTTGTTTCTCTGTCTCTCAGACTTTCCACTTGCAAGATGGTGAGTCTCCTGTGGTCCCTCCACTAAAGGTCCAAGTCCCTGGGCAGAGGGAGGGCCCAGAAGGCAAATGACTGGCATCCAGGGGCTTAACCCTGAGGGCTGCCCCTTGTGGAGGGCTCGGACCTGTAACTAGCTCCAACCCCTCAGTCCCCACTCTGTGTCACACCCTCATCTGTCCCCCATCAACCCTGGGAAGTGGGCACTGTCAGCCCCTCGATAGTCATTCCACATTTGTTGAGCACCAGCTGTGCACCCAGCACCATCCTATGTTTGGGGACACAGCAGTGAGCCCACAGTCCTGGCCATCAGTAAACTCCCCTGCTAGGAGAGGGTACAGAGGCCCAGAGCCTGGCCCTGGAAAACTGGGATCTAAGCCCAAGTACTCATGTCCTGGCCACAGCACACTGTTAATTACCAAGTGGTCCTCCAATTTCCTGGCCTCATGGGCACCCCAAGAATGGGACAGGGCAGGCACCAGACACTCTCCAGGCCAGGGAACTGTAAGGAATAAGCACCCCTACCTGTATCACATTGGGGCACCCAGTAGCCCCATGTAGGAGTAAGCCAGCCTCTGAGAGGGCAGGAGTGTAGGATTTTCTGCAGTGCCAGGACTCCAGGCACCTAGAAAGAAGGTACTAACCTTCTCCTCCAGTGTCTCACCCAGGGCTGGCTCGTGGTGGGTCTTCAGTGCCTACTTGAGGACAATGAAAGACATTCACTTACATAGTTAGGTGGCAGCAAACTCCACGTTGGCAGGTGGGTCACTGAACCCAGAGACAAATGAATGCCTGTAAGTAATTGCTAGGCTCATTCATCAATTCTTCAGTCAGCAAACATTTATGGAGGAGTTACTGTGTGTCGGGCACTGTTTGGAGTACTGGGCTTGCCTCAATGAAGGAAACAGAGAAAAAGCTCTGCCCCTTCAAGCTAGGGCAGACCTGGTGCAGGATGGTAATCACTGATCCAGTCAGCAGGCTATTGGTTCCTGCTGTCCTACCCCAGGGACCACTCATGACAGTTTACAAAGCACTCCTCCCACATTTTCCCCTGGGCCTTCACCCTCAGGCCAATTCCTTCCTGTCCTGGGCCCTTGAACATTACCCATGCCAGGGTGGGAGCTCACATAGTTGGGAGACTTAATGTACTTCTCTGCCCACCCTGCCAAGTCCTACCACTTCTGCCCCCCTCAGCTCTCCCTGGATCCACTGGGTCCCAAGTGGGACTGTCCCCTGGGCCCCAAGGACCTGAATGGAGAGGAGGGCCCATGGAGAGGGGGCTCTGGCCTACCCCCCATCAGCTGCTTCCCTGGCTCCTGGCGCCAGGATGTGGGCCTGGACTGCAAGGGCTCCCCTGAGGGGGCCGAGGCCCGGGCCTGGACTGTCTACTACTACAGCCTCCTGCAGAGTTGTCTGCAGCAAGCTGGGCTTCCGGAAACTCAGGACCGAAGCCAGGTGCCCCACACAGGTGCTCAAGGGCTCCACGGAGTGGGGTATCCCCGGGGGGCAGGGAGGGATCCTCAGTCCAGTTGCTCCTCACCCTTGCTGAGGTTGGCCCCTTCCCCTGGTCCTGATTTTATCTGAAAACAGAGGCAAAGGACATTTGGTACCAATGAAGTCAGAGGTCTGGGCTCTCCACCTCTCCCCGCACCCCTGCCTTGGGATTTGCAAACCATGTTCTGTGGAGCCAAAGCTCCAAAGTGGCTGTGGAGGCAACTGAACACTGGGACCCCAAAGTTCCTCTCTTACTTTATCTGTTTTATTGTGTAGCCACAAATGATTTTGTGTGGATAGTGGGTTTACACCTAGAATACCTGAGAATTAGAGACTTGCTCCCCTAGTACAGACTGGGAAACAAGCTCACAGAAATAGTGGCCCTTTCAAGGTCACAGAGAATTCAGAGCTCAGGCTAGACCCAGGTCTCCATCACTCAGCCTGAAGCGTCTTCTGGACCAGTTGCAGAGAAAGGGTGCCAGCCTCATGGGGCCAAGAGGGCAGACAGCTCCCCGTCTCTGGTACTCTCTCATCCAATCACTGAGAAGGACCTTGGGGCCCAAGAGTGAGGGTGGGGGGTGGAGGTGGTGGCCAGAGAAGGCAGCAAGGGGAGCCCCTGGTGACCTTGGCAATGTCTCTTCCCCCGAGGTTGCCCTGGTGCTGAGGTGACCTTGTGCATTCTGGGATCTCCCAGCACCTTTCTGTCAGTGCTGCTCGAGGGTGGGGTCCAGAGCCCTGGTGAGTGTGTGCCCAAGTTCCCTACCCTGTCACAGAAAGGGCAGCCCCGCCCTGGCCCAGCCACATCCCAAAATACCCACCAGCCTTGGCAACTGCCTGCATTCCATGGGACCAGCTGCCACACTCTGAATAGGGGTGGGTTCTGGGAAGAACTGTCTCCCCTGAGGCACAAGGGCCAGGTTGGAAGTGTTGGGCACTGGGGACATAAGCCTTCCCTGGCCAGCCACCTGCCCCCCTCTGCCTACAGGAAACATGCTCCTCTGCCTGTCCCCTGCTTGGCTGACGAAGGTGCCAGCACCAGGGGAGTTGGGTGAGGCGGCCCTGCTGGTCTCCAAGGCTGTGAGCTTCCACCCAGGGGGCCTGACATTCCTGGATGACTTTGTCCCCCCACGACGTGCCACCTACTTCCTGGCGGGCCTGGGGCTGGGCTCTGGCCAGGGCCGGGAGGCAGCAGAGCTGGCCCGAAACCTGACTTGCCCCACAGGAGCCTCAGCGGAGCTGGCCCGGCTGCTGGAGGACCGGCTGCTGATGAGGCAGCTGCTGTCCCAGCAGAGCCAAGTGGCCGTGCCAGCTACCCTGGCTTTCACCTACAAGCCTCCAAGGATACTGCAGGGAGGGGACACCAGCCCGGGACTACGGCTGGTGGAGCTGAGTGGCAAAGAGGGCCAGGAAACACTGGTGAAAGAGGAAGTAGGGGCCTTTCTGCACTCCGAGGCTCTAGGTGATGCCCAGCAGGTAACAGGTTCCTGCCCACCCCGAGGTCTGTGCAGATGCCAGCAGGAGGGACCACTCCTGCTGCTTGGGACCATTCATGGGTCCCAAGTCCTGATGGGAAACTGTCCCCAACTTTTAGCTCTGCCACTGCCCCAGAGATGGGGGAATGCCCTGCCCACTTAGCTCAGTTTACTTTTTGGCACAGTGACATGAACATCTCACCTTGTAGGTACATGGGGTGGTGTCGAGGAGGCCCTTTTCCCCTTCCTGCTGTAGGTGGCGGTGAAGCTTAGTGGCTGGCGCTGGCGGGGGCGGCAGTCTTTGTGTCTCCACCCACGAGTGGAGCTGGGCGCTGTGGTAGACACAGTGCTGGCGTTGCTGGAGAAGCTGGAGGAAGAGGAGAGTGTCCTGGTGGAGGCCATGTGTCCACCTGCCCGGTTGCCCTTTCCAGGTGAGAGCCACCTGTCTCAGCTAGGGTGGGAGCACGCCATGGCCTCCTGGACTCTTTGCTGGATTTAGACCACCCCCTCTTCACCCAGGAAGTCCCTCCACCAGCCCTGAGATGGCTATGCGTATCTGTGCTGTGGTGTGTCGCACTCAGGGTGACAGGCCCCTACTGAGCAAGGTGAGCAAGGCCCAGATCCAGGTAACCCTGCCCCTCAGATCCAAGCTCAGTCCCACTGATCAGATGAGGGCCCTGCCCAGTCCCTGGGTAGAGAGAACAACATCTTTGGGGGATTTTGGTTACCAGTGGAGAGCCTCCTGGGTCTGACACTCCAACTGTCTTAAAGCCCCTCCTACAATAGAGCCCCTGCCCGTGTTTAGCCCTATGCTGGGTACCAGGGTCCAAGGGGCTGTTTTCTCAGAGAGCTCCTGTCCACAAAAGAGGCTGGCCCAGGGATTCTGATAAACCTCCAGGGCCTGGAGCCCTGGTGTGTGTGTGTGGGGGGGGGCCTCCAAGCTGGAAAGCTCAGAAAGCTTGGGATACTCTCTGGGTACCCAACTCTGGGTCAAGCTGAGAGAGAAGCATTCAGCTAAACCAGCAGGGCTCCAGTGGAAGAGAAGCTTCTGGGAGGCACGCTAGAGCTGGGACACATTAGGGTAGCCGCAGGAGCTTGAGCAAGCATGCTTGGCGCTCTCAGGGAGCAGGGACCCCAGCTGAGCCTCTGTAGGGTTGGGTCCAGGGGCCAGATGGCAGCAGCTGGAAAGTCATTTGTGCAGTCTAAATCACAATGGAGAATGGAGCTTCCTGAATGACCAGTGAGGGGTCTGGCCTGGTTCTTGAGAGGTGCTTACGGCAGGGAGACTTCGAGGAGGTAGCCCTGGGAGGGGTCCTCCTGAGCCGGAACCTGCCTAGGTGGTCTGCGGCGTAGGTCGCGGGGATCGGCTTCTTCGGCACCAGAACTCTCTGCCCAGGACGCTGGAGGTGGGGCTGGCTCAGTGTGGCCTGAGCGAAGCGACACAGGTGGTAGCCGTGAGGCAGCGCGTCAAGGAGGCAGCGGAGGCCGTGCTGGCTGCGGTACTGGCCTTGGAGGCTGGCCTGAGCGCCGAGCAGCGCGGCGGGCGCCGGGCTCGCACTGACTTCCTTGGTGAGCGCTGGCGTGCAACGGGCGGGCGTGCTGGGCGCCGGGGGCCGAAGCCGAGGCCGAGGGCCGTGCGCGCTGAGTCTGCATCCTTCGCCCGGTCCAGGCGTGGACTTCGCGCTGACAGTGTCCGGCCGCGCGCTGACCCCGGTGGCCCTGGAGTTGAACAGTGGCCTGTGCCTGGAGGCGTGCGGCATGCTCGAGGGGCTGTGGGCTGCGCCTCGCCTGGGGCCGGCGGCTGAGGAGGCGGCCGCTGCGCCGCTGGTGGAGACCATGCTCCGGCGCTCGGCGCGGTACCTCATGGAAGGAAAGCAGCTGCTGCTGGTCGGTGCTGGCGGCGTCAGCAAGAAGTTCGTGTGGGAGGCGGCTCGCGACTACGGGCTCAAGGTGGGCGGGGCCCGGGGCGGGACCGGGCCTGAGTCGCAGCCTGAGTGGTGAAGTGGCTCCGAGTGGGGCCTGCAGTGAAGGGGCAGCAGGGGGCCTTTGAGGCCGAGCTACTGTAGCTGAGCCAGGGGCCGGCGTCCTTGCTAGGGCGGGGCAGGTTTGGATGCCTTGCTTTGGTTAGGTAACCGGGCTTCTAATTCTCTAGCGGGGCACAGAGGCCTCTATAGAAAGGAAAGCTGAGGGTAGATGGCCTAGGATAGGCAGGGGACAAGGGCGATGTTTAGGGTTAGTTTTAGAGCCCAGGTTTTATTTTTGTGGTGCTCGGATTGAATCTGGGACTTTCACATTGAGCTACATCCAAAGCCCATTTATTATTATTACTATTATTATTATTTAAATTTTGAAACAAGGGTCTCGCTCAGTTGCTAAATTGTCTAGGCTGGATTCAAACTTGCCATCCTTCAGTCTCCCAGATGCTGGGATTACGGGTGTGTACTACCACGCCTGGCTTAGAGCCTAGTTTGTTTTTGGGGGGAGTTTGAACTCACTATGTAGCCCAGGCTAGGCTTGAACTCCTGGCGATCCTCCTGCCTCAGCCTCCCAAGTGCTGGGATCACAGACAAATGTGCACCACCATGCCTGGCCATTTTGTTGTTTTTCTAACGGGGGCAAAGTTTTACATTTATTAAGGATAGGAAAAAAATAAGAGTAGGGGGGAAAACAAGCTCTGCACAGCAAGTTTGAGCAGAGAAAAAAATAAAAATACAAAAAACACCCTACAGCATAGGGTGGGCTATCATGAACAGGCACAATACCCGAACCCAGGTTTTAAATGCTGGGTTAAAGGGCCTGGCTCTGTACTGGGCAAAGGGCAAGCATTTTGAGGTTGAATTCCTGACACTGGGCACCCAGGGCCCACAGAGAGTGCTGGGAGCACCTTACAGATCCTCAATCAGGTTTACAGCAGTGGCTTCCCATTATAGAATCTGGATCAAACTAGGGGAGTAGACGTTTTGATCCCTATTGAACAGATAAGAAAACAGCTGGGCATGGTAGCCCACGCTTGTGATCCGGGCACTCTGGGAGCCTGAGGCAAGAGGATCACAAATTCAAGCCCACCCAGGGCAGTTTAGTGACTCAGTGAGACCAGTCCCCAAATAGAAAAGGGTAGGCAGGGTATAGCTCAGTACAAAGGCCCTAGGTTGAATCCCCAGTATTGAGAAAACAAAAACAAAATCTGGGACCTTTCATGCTGGCCCTAGTCTACCAGTAGCCTCCTCTCTACTCTCCCACAGTGTCAGACCCCCTGGAGAGCGCCCTCTGGGCTTCCGCTCTCTGCCTCTTTGCCCCCACCTGGCATGGTGTGCTCTCTAGCTGGAATGCCGCTCGCTTCTGACACCAAAGGTAACAGTGCAGACAGCCACCTCCCCTCCCTCATCAGTGGCTATCTCTGCCCTCGGTGTCAGCTGCTTTGTGTCTGTGCTCCCCAAGCGGGCCACAAGCTTTGAGGACCCAGAGCCCCACAGGAATCTTCTGTGGGTACCTTCCAGTGTCAGAACTTTCTGTGTGACTGAAGACCAAAGGGCCAGTCCTGAATCCCACCCCCACTGGCTTCACTGAAGCCCTGTCCTGCTGAATGCACTGCTGAGATCTCACCACCTCGCCTTGCCCTTTCCCCTTGCAGCTGTCTTTCCTGCCTCTTCTTTCCTCTGACTGATGCTTATTTTTCCACTCCCAGTTTAGCACTGTCTCCTTCAGGATGCTTTCCCTTTCCACCCCCAGGTTGGGATAGGGGTCCCATTTAATCAATCATCAATATTTAGTTGGGAGTGGTGGCGCATGCCTGTAATCCCAGAACTTGGGAGTCGAGAGTTTGAGGCCACCCTGGGCTAATAGTGAGTTCAAGGCCAGTCTGAATTATAAAGTGAGACCTTAACGTTTCTTGGCCTTTTGGCTAAGATCAAGTATAAAGTGAGACCTTGTCTCAAAAACACAAGAAATCAACATTTATGGAGCAGCTAGCATTTATGAACCATCTCCCCTGCGGGCCAGAACCATGTCCTGGGCCCCATCCTGTCTCCTCTGCACCCAGAACCTGCTGACCTGGGTGTGCTGTCCTCCTGTGGTTTCTGCAGCTGCACCTGGTGGAGTCAGACCCCAACCACTTTGCGTCTCAGCTGGTGCAGACCTTTATCCACTTTGATGTGACGGAGCACAGGAAAGATGAGGAGAATGCTCGACTGCTGGCAGAGTTGGTACGAGCACGCGGCCTACAGCTAGATGGCTGTTTCTCCTACTGGGATGACTGCCTGGTGCTCACAGCCCTACTCTGCCAGGAGTTGGGCCTGCCCTGCAGCCCTCCAGCTGCTGTGTGCCTGGCCAAGCAGAAGAGCCACACTCAGCTGCACCTGTCTCACTGTCACGGCCCACCGTGGCCTGCACCCTCCCTCCATGCTGTGGCTTGCTGCCCTCTGGAGAGTGAGGCAGATGTGGAGAGGGCTGTTCATCAGGTACCCCTGCCAGGTGTGATGAAGCTGGAGTTTGGGGCAGGTGCAGTGGGCGTGCGGCTGGTGGAGGATGCACCACAGTGCCATGAGCACTTTTCTCGGATTTCCCGGGACTTGCAGGGTGAGGCTGACCATCCAGGCATTGGGCTGGGCTGGGGCAATGCCATGCTGCTGATGGAGTTTGTTGAGGGCACTGAACATGATGTGGACCTAGTGGTGTTTGGCGGGAGGCTGCTGGCTGCCTTTGTCTCCGACAATGGCCCCACGAGGCTGCCTGGCTTCACAGAGACAGCAGCCTGCATGCCCACGGGGCTGGCACCAGAGCAAGAGGCACAGATGGTGCAGGCAGCCTTCCGCTGCTGTCTGGGTTGTGGGCTGCTTGATGGCGTCTTTAATGTGGAGCTCAAGTTGACTGGGGCTGGGCCTCGGCTCATTGAGATCAACCCCCGAATGGGTGGTTTCTACCTTCGGGACTGGATCCTGGAGCTCTATGGTGTGGATCTGCTGCTGGCTGCTGCGATGGTGGCCTGTGGTCTTCGACCCGCCCTGCCCACCCACCCCCATGCCCGTGGTCATCTGGTGGGCATCATGTGCCTGGTGTCTCAGCATCTGCAGGCACTGAGTTCCACAGCCAGCCGAGAGACCCTGCAGGCTCTGCATGACCAGGGCCTACTGCGCCTCAATCTGCTGGAGGAGGCCCTGGTGCCTGGCGAGTATGAGGAGCCCTACTGCAGTGTGGCCTGTGCTGGGTCCAGCCCTGCTGAGGCCCGCCTCCGCTTGTTGGGCCTCTGCCAGGGCCTGGGCATTGACGGGCCCAACTACCCAGTTGCTCACTTCCTGTCTCATTTCAAATAGCACTGGAGCCGGGGTGGGGGGCAGGGATGAAGTGCTAGGGGGAGGGGGCCGTAGTGCCCTCTACTCCCTGGTGCCCTCCCTGTCTCTCTCCCTATCACCCCACTCTAACCCCAGCCTGGCCTACTCCCATGCCTCAGGTTTGCTCCAGAGTAGCAGGACCATTTTGACACCAAATCCTCCTGGGCTAAGGGCCATAAAACAAGTGTGTGTAGGAAGCCCTGTTGCCCTCTCAAAGGCTTCAGTCTGGTCCACAGCTGCCCTGGGACTCTAGCCCTGGAGAAGTAGCAGGAGTTACAAACACTGCCATTGCCCACCCCAAATGGGAGTGGACCCAAACCCAGGCCCTCTCTCTACCCTTCCAGGTGTGTCTCTCTTCCTGCCACCTACAGTTGAAGAGAACCTTGATGGGCCTCCAGCCTTTGACAAATCCCAGGATGAGCTGAGATTAAAATCCTTGTCTTCTTGTCCATATCCTAGGCTACTTCTAGAGTCCACTGAAAACTTCTGGCAATGCTCCTGTCTCAACTGGCCTGAGCAGTAGAAGCAGGTGGCTTGTGGTCAGGAGTGATTGCCTCCCCTCACACCTTCACACAGATGCTATTGCCCCCATTCTCCAGATGAGGAAACAGGCTCAGAGAAGAAAAGTGTTTGTCCCCAAGGTCATATCACTGTGGATATAGACAGAAGGGCCAGGGCCAGGTTCCCACATTTACTAAGTCTTACATGTCTGCTCAGCTTCTAGGCCCTTCACCTCTCTGCCCTCATCACAAGCAACTCCGAGACTTGTGAACACTCCTCCTGTGCACCATGCACCTTCACCAAGTTTCAGTGCTTTGGCCTCTGAAACATCTAACAAGCATTGGCAGAGGGTGTCTGCACCTAATTTAGGGAAGCTGCTTCAAGAACTGTCTCTGTACAGCACAGGAACAGTGGACAGCTCCCCCAGCATCCCTCCTCAAATAAAGGTTTATAGACTAGTGAAGTGTCTGGAGTCTGGAATAAATTCTTGGACTGGACAGCTCCAGGTTCAGCTAGTTGGGGTTAGGGGTGGGGGTGCTTGGGATGGGGAGAGAAGTTGAAGAGGACATGGGAGGGGATTTCTGTAGCCTCTGGGGTT